TTCTTTTTTACCTGTTTGGAATAATAATTATACGATTTCCGGTCATCAGGATGCCTAGTTCTTTGCCAAAGGGTCCTAGAGCAACGTTTGCTATGGATTAGGTCCAATAGATCTTGAGGTAAAGGATTTATGTTATGGTATTTTTTGGGACGATCAGGTGAGGATGCAGTCCAAGCTGCTTGCTGGATCAGGGTAGTGAAGGAATGCACTGCATCGTCGAGGTCTTCAGGTGTTTTTAAGGAAACTCTGAGGTCAATATTATCTTCCAGTATTTGACGGAAAAGGTTCCAGTTAACTGGCCCCCTGATAAATGAAGGTGGGGATGATTTGGGAATGGGAGATGTGGAAACGGTTAGGACTAGAGGACTATGGTCTGAGGAAAGATCATCAAACCTTGAAATAGAACAGTGTAGTGATCCTAGACCTTTGTGGAGGAAAAAGTCTAGAAGGTCGGGATTGCGGTTGGGATCTGTTGGCCAGTATGTGGGTGTATTAGGTGAAAGGATGTTGCTGCGATGGGAATTAAGTGCAGATAGCAATGTTCGGCCTCGGGAATTTGTGGATCTGGCTCCCCATTGCTGGTGTTTTGCATTTAGATCTGCACCTAGGAGGAAGTGGTGTCCTAAGGAATTCAGGAAGGAAATTATTTGGGATTCGGAAATGGGTGTTTTAGGTGGGGAATATGCCGCAACTAGTGTTATTGGGTAAAGGGGTGTTTGGATTATTACGGCTGTGGATTGTATGAAATTATGGCTTGGTAAGGGAAACAAATGATGGGAAACGGATCGATGGATAATTATGGCAGTGCCACCATGTGCTGTTCCATCAGGATGGTCGGTTCGATAAATATTGTAGCCGGGCACGTTGATTTGTCGTTTGTTGGTTAGTCGAGTTTCAGTTATTAGTGCTATGTCGATGTTTTTGTCATGTAATAAGATTGTCAGTTCGTTGATGTGGTTCCGAATACCATTCGCATTCCAGAGGAGAATGGAGAGGAATTTGGTTGAGGACATTTATGGATTTCTTGGCAGTGGAATGAGGTTGGATATAACATTGGTAAGTAGCGAAATAAGGGGGGTAATGAGAGATCTAAATTCGGAAAGGAAAGATGTCAATAGGCTTGTGAGGTCAGTGGAATTGGAAGGAGGAGGAATGAATGTGTGAGTATTTAACCTACGTTCAGGGATGGAGGGATATGGGTCTTGAGGTTGATGTGTGAATTCTTGAGGTTTAGATTCTTGTGGCAGGGCCTGAGATTGAGTGTTTACAGTGTCTCCTTTGAACATCTGAGCATAGGACACTCTTCCGTTCACTGTTCTATAGGGTTGTCTTGGTGGCCTGGATGTCCCTTCTTCTCTAGGCGTTGCGTACATTCGTGTTTTCAAATCTTTGTAAGTTTGACAACCCTTGTAGTTGGCTGGGTGTCCTTGGTGGCATAAAGCGCATACTGCAGGTGAAGTTCTAGACTTCCTACAGTCCTCTGTTTTGTGTTGCTCACCACACCTCACACATCTAGGAATGTGATGACAATACCGTTTCGTATGGCCATAAGCCTGGCAGTTATGGCATTGAACGATGTCGCGCTTGCTGTAGGGCTTTTCTACAACAACGCTTGTATAATAAAGGCGTGTGACCTTGTAGATGTTTTCGACATCAGGTGTTCGGTCAAGGTCAACGAAGAATAGTGGAAGAGCTATTTTATTTTTTATTCCAGGCTGTTCTCTATCCTCCTTAAATATGTTCACTATCTGGCGAACATGGAATCCCATACCCGTGAGCTCTTCTTTTATAGCATCTGTTGGCGTAGATGGGTGCAGTCTTCTGATAACGACCCTGAGCGCCCTCTCTTGACGCAGTTGATAAGTGTGGTAATCAGCCTTGGTTTCAGATAAATATTTTATGATTTTTCTATAGGTTTCTGGAGTGTCGGGCATTAACTTAGTGTCATTGGTGCGGCTTTGGCATAAAAATTTTCCTGAACCTACCAGATTATTCAATTGATTACACATCAATTGAAAATTTTTAATATTTCTAACAAATATTGGTGGGGGTTTGGGTTCTCTGGGGATGGATGCTGCTTCCATTTGTTCGTTGTTTATATTTGAAAGCACTTCAAATGGATTCGAAGTGAAAAACGGCGATTCTTCACCCATAGCTTGAGTTGTCTCATAATTATTGGGTTGTTGTGAGGAGCCAGGTTGGGGTTCCACTTCTTCTATGGAGCTCCCTGGTGTGGCTGGTGGAGTGTTTCTTTTCGAATGCCTTGTCTTTTTTTTAATGGGAGAACTAATTGTAGTATCCAGGCTCCTGGACCTAGTGTTTTTGCCCTTACTCGACATTAGCATGTGATAATATCGCATTTCATATTTATTTTTGAAAGAAAAATTGATAAAAGTGAAGAGAGGAAAAAAAAAAAAATTTTATTGAACACGAAAATATAGACGCGCTCTTGGAGAGCACAGATCTGCCTCCGACGGAGGGATCTAGCCCACTGGTATTAACGACTGTTGCAGCTTATGGCTGGCCGTTATCTAACTAACCTAAGGTCTATTTACACTGTTCACTCTTGTGTTGTAAATAAGTGATTACTCACCTTATTTTTTTTGTCCAGTATCAAACGTAATTGTTAATGTAACTGATAACACTAATTGTTCACATTAAACTTGTATACTGCCACTGATAAATGAGATTTTTATAAGAGACGACCTGACGTATGTTTAACTAGGGCTAACGCATGCGCAGAACTGACTATATAACTAAGTTAAATAAATTCATTACAGAATCTATGCTACTTACATACAAACAATAACATAAAACAAAAAATTATTGCATTTTTAGGGCTTATTTATAAAAAGAAAAATTATGATAATTTTTTTTTTTTTAAATTAGATGAGAGTAGGATGAGATACGGGAAAGATTGGCAAATCTGTTATAGACATTATAAGTTGTAAAAATATATGCAATGAAAATATATAAATAAAATAACAAAAATATTTCTAGGGGTAATAAAGTGATCCCGAAACGTCATAAAAATAAAGAAATTTTTTTTGGGAGAGGAAACTGTTACTTAACTTTATTCACATACCTTATAGAAATAAACTTTTCCCTTAGTGCCAATGAGCAATTCAAAGATTAATAACAATAAATAAACAAAAACAATTAAAGAGTAATCCAAGAATGCTTGTTTAATTCAATTATTAAAAAAAAAAAGGTTTAAAATATTATATATATTTTTTTAAACAGAAAGTTTCAGACAATAAAAGGAGTGTTTCCCTTTGTGGTTCCCATGAAGCCCTTATTAAAAACATTTCCCTGTGGAAAAACATCGGGTGGAAAACTTTTTTTTTATGTTGAGACCACTTATGAAAAGAGCATATACAACTTTATTATCCCTCAACCACCCGGTTTCCTCTCTCTCTCTCTATCTACTGACAAAAATTATCGTTTTAACTTTCCCTCTTACTACCCAACTGTCGAGTCTCCACGTTGTACTCAAAATTAAGAAAATATTTATCATGATAAATATTTTCATTATTGTCTCTTCGGAAAATATACGTTACAAAATGAAGAAGAAAAACCATATCCTGATTTAGTACTAATAATAATATTCTCAAGAACAAGCGGATCCAGGATTTAATTTTGGGGGGTTTCAACCTAAAAGCTTTCTTTTTCATACATATAACAATAATTACTTTGAAAAAAAAAATAAAGAAACTAATTACCTATATGACATGTTGTTTAAGTGATTCTTGAAGTCCTATTAAATGTAATTGCACAAAAATAATACTTTAAGGGATAGTTTTTAATATTTTTTTCTACAAAACATGGTTATATTTTACCATTTTGAAGGAGGAGGCTTCAGCCCGAAAGCCTCCATCCCCATAGATCCCGTATAAGATGTCCCGTAAGTTGGGGAAAATATTTAAAAGGTCGATAGTATACATCTATAAAAAAGTTTATATAAATAATGAAACGTTTTCAAGAAAATAATTGATGCAACCAGTAGGTTTCATTAGTTTAAATGTAAATTTTGATAAGAAACATTAAGTTTGTCACTGATAAATACAAAAAAATTCTAATAATAGAAATTTGGAAGAAAAACACAATTTCACAACAACCTTACATGAAAAATATTTGATTTTAATTTTAAATTTTTATTATTATTTTATTATTTCTTAATGATATTTACAACTGTATTAAATAAATACATCTAGTAAATTTGAACATAATAGATATAATGACATGAAAACACTTGCTGAGTAACTACCCAATGGTAGCACTCCAATTATTTTTATCAATAAAATGTCTTTTTAGGTATTATTTATTAATAATATTTATTAAAATTCATCCCATATCACGGAGAAACAAGAAATCAAAACTTTGCAACAGTTAATTATAGTCATTTTTGCTGAAAACTAAAGTAATTTTAGGTGACAACAGAATCTCAATTTCTTGTGAATCTCAATTTTTTTCCAATAAATCTCAATTTAAATAATATAGACTTAAAGGTAATTAAATTTGGATTTTTTTTTTTTATGTGGTAACTGTAGTGCAATTGGAGAAAATAATGGATAAGGTCAACTTCCAATGGACATACTTGTTAACAATCGACTTTCTACATAACTTGGATACTTGAGTGAAATTTTTAAGTATTTTCTGGCTGTGTCAGGTCAAAAAAAATGTATATATGTATCAATATTAAGATTTAGTTGAACTAAGGTGTATTTTGTTCGGAAAAAAAACGATAGGAATGTTATTTAAGTAAGGAATTATGAAATCTGTCAGTTAAAAATATTCTAATAGAATAATTGGGTTAGTAGACAAAAATTATAAAATGCTTAGACATTCATAATTTTTAATTTAAAATATAAGAACTGTTAATGAAAAGAGTTGAGATCGCTAGGAAAATGTTGGAAAGGACGCTCTTTTTAAAAACAATTTTAAAAGCTGTGTGCAATGGACAAATTTATTAATTTTTATTAAAAAATAAAAATTCTCACCTGCAGGCGGACAGGACAACCTTGTGTGCTTTGAAGGTGGTCTCCTCGCAGACCAGGGTGACGTCCACGAGTGCTTCATTTTGGAGGAGGGTATCGAACGCTGCGAGGATGTGGCTCTGGTGGTTGTTCCACCGGAGAGAATAATGGGCTGAGCTCATGCCTGCGTTCTGGAAGGAAAAATATATTAGTAAATTTTGTTTACTAATTACTAATAATAAATAAATAATAGTTACTAAATATTATTTTTAAAAAAACAATAAATATATTATATATATAACCACAATGGGCTGAGATTCGTTGTTCGGTTTCAACGGCAATAACAAATAGAAAAAGACTAGTGTTGCGTTCGTAAATTGATAACAATTTTATTTAGAAATAAGAGGAGATGAATTTTTAAATCTTTGCATAGCGACTACGAAACAGAAAATATAAACTTTCCATTGAAAACAAGCTACTGATCTACAAGACAATACTGAAACCTATTTGGACTTACGGACTAGAACTGTAGAGAACAGTAAAATTTTATAACATCAAGCGCACCTAATCCAGTCAAAAGTCCTTTGAACAATAGTCGATGCTCCTTTCTATGTAACCAATAAAACCCTACATCATGACCTCAAAATCCCACTTGTCCTAGACCTTATCCCAGAAAAATTCTCCAAATTTCACCAGAACCTTAAATACCACCCAAATCCTCTTGCACGATCCCTATCAAGCACCACCCATCCCTATAATCCTCCAAGAAGGTTGAAACGCCAGTGGCCTCGCGACCTTTTGTAGATTGTATATATTGGAGTTCTGGCAATGGCCAGATTCTCCACTCAAGACATGAGTGTATGTTGCTAAAGTGCTCTCGATCAATCTCCGCTGGCTTTAGTACCAGTGATGCGGTTGAGAGAGTAGCGCAGGGTTCTCCTGGAGTTACCTCGCCTGATTGTATATAGTGTATATAGGTATGCATGTGTTTTTTTGCTTAGTTTTAATTCTCTTATTTTTAGATTATTTTATTTTATTATCTATTGTATATACTTTTGATTATTATTTTGTTCTATTTAATTTATATTTTTTGTACATATAGTGTGAATGTCATCCTACCTCACTATAACCAATGTCCAAGGGAAAGATTGTTGTAATACTCAATAAATATAAAAAAAAAAAAAAAAAAAACATCTTTGCACCATTAATCCTGTATATTATTTATTCTATATATATACAGGGCGTCACGTAATTAGAGGGAGATATTTAAAAGGCTGATAGTAGACATAAATTTCGACAAAAAAGTTCATATCAACAATGGTCCAAATTCAAGCAGAATATTAGGAAATTTAAGATTTGTGTTTATTTTTTAATCAAGTCACGTTTTTTGTTGGATAGGAAGCGATAATTTAAAAAAAAATATTCGATTTAAGTAATTAGACATTGTTCCATAATAAACTATATAAAATTTACATTCAACGATAGCAGAGTTTGTCATCATTAATATGAACTTAAAGTTGATTAAACTAGGAAGTCTCTCTAAAAGTGGGGTAACTGTAGTACACCACTTGATGATGAAGGATCATAAAACAAAATCACAAATAATTTTTGACTTTGAATTTTAAAACGGATTTTAGGTGCATTTGTTCGATAAATAGTTTTAACAATGAGTAACTCTTCTTCCGCATATAATATAATATATATATAAATATTTTATTAAAGTAATTAAACATTGCTTCATAGTACACTAGAAAAATTTACTTAAACGGAAGTAGAATTTGTCATGTATATAACATATACATAAAATAATATATAAAGGAATAAAACATACCAAATAATATAAAAATATTATTGCTATTCATCATTTCTACTTTTGCATTTAATCAAAATTTATTTTTCTTGTGAGTACCTAAAATTAGAAACACTTGGGTTCAAGTTTAGTTAATGAGCGTTTGAGAAAAAAGATATTTTTTTATAGATAAATTTTCAATTGAACTGCCAGGAATTAGATGTACACAGAGATGTTTAATGTGGGGTTACAAAAGCTATCAAATCACCTATAAGAACGCTGTTTCCTAATTTAAAATTAAGAATAAAAAAAAAAAGGCCGATATCATAGAAGGTTTGACGAAGAAAACACGATCACAATAAAATAAAATAAAATAAAAACTTATATTTGGGCTTTTAAACAGATAAATATTTCCGATTTATATCCTTTTAGTAGTCTTTGGGATCAACAGATTTCAGAAACTCCAGAGAAAATTTAATCATACCCGGGCCGTGATTGAATGAAGCCAACTTTTTAAAGTGGATTATTTTTGAGCCTCCGTTTCCTCGACCAGAAGAGCTTGAAAAAGAAATTCCGATTCTTCTCCTCTTTTTAATTTTACATATTTGTATTTTTTAACGAATAAAACAGCTTGTGTGATACTCAAGTACTAATCTAGAAAAAAAATTGATGTAGAGATGGCTGACCGTGATATAATTTGAGATAAATACTAAATTTTTAAAAAATAGTATTTTTAATTATTATCTCGACGTTTCTTTATTTGTTTATCAGACAACTGTTTCTTGATTAATGTCTACTTATGATTCATTTATTTTATAAGATTTTTACAACACTGTTGATCAAGAAAGTTTCAGACCATAATGGCTACTTCGAATTGATAAATTTGTTCAAATCAACAACTCTACAAAGGATGCAACAAGATATAAATCATGGACAAATAACGTTTGCTTATGTTACAGAGAAAAAAATAAGATGGCAGTTAATGTTTTAACGTAAAATAAGGAAAGGAACTAGAAAAAATGCATATTTGCCCGTTTTCGTGAAACTTCGTGGTCAAAGAAAAGAAAATAATACAAATGTAAAAGAATTTTAGGAATTTCCTATAAAATTTTATAAAGCAAAAAAAAATATCAGGTAAATATAAAAACTTTTACAAAAGCGTGTAATTAATTGGGTTTCGAAACATATACGAAAAAAAATAAAACAGGTTTGATGTACATATGGGATTGGTTTCTTAGAGAGAGATATAAAAGAGAATAACATATAAAATTTCAGTACCTGGAGCCATATACTACAACAAAATCCCAATGAAATAACGCAAGACTAAAAAAGGCCTGTAATATATTTTACTTCTTTGGTTTCAAAATTCCCAAATATATGAAATGTTTTCAATACGTTTTTAAGAAATATTTTAATGATAAACCTGGAAATTAGAACTCGCAATTATATAATTCTTACAAATGTGCTTTTACAGAGCGGAACATAACAACTGACGTTCTCAGAACATTTAAGATTTTATGTAGTTTAATATCCGGTCTGAAAAAAAAAAATAATGATCGAATCTACTGATATGAGAGCTGGCCGAATTCATTCAAAATGTTAATATAATAAAAATTCAGTAATTTGAGTTTTCTGGTGTCGGTGGATAAAATTTGGTATCGGCATGAAATCACCGGGTTCGCTTTGGTTTTCACAATCAGTAATATTATTTATTGAAACTTTATTATTCATGCCTTGGAGGAGGATGAAATAATTTTATGGCTTGATAATTTTTTTTTTTTCGTCTCGTGGATATTTGATAAGTTTATGTGAGGAAAGCTTATTAAATTACATGGAATTAATTATAATTTATAATATAAAAAAAACAATTATTCTGGAAAGATTTATTTATTTTCTAATAAATATTTATTTCTAATAAATAGAAATCATAAATGGCATAAAAACTATATTAATAAAATAGAATATACATTAGTTAAAATACATTTAAAAAAAAAAATGAAATCGTGTTCTGAATAAATATTATTAAAATAGGCAACAATAAATGAATTAAAAAAATAAAGTAAAATTGATAAAATTAACAGTTAATATAATATTTATATGTGTATATAAATATGTATACATAAATATGTGTAAGTAGAAAGGTTAATAAACTGATACATAAGTTCTAGGCACTATCTAAACAGTTAAAAGCCATAGAAGAAGATAACTTAAACAATGGTCTGAGTCTCACTAAAAGAGGTTGATGAACTTGGTATTGGTTCTAAGATAAATGTTTAAATATTAGCTGATATATTACTACAAGCTGGAAATCCATATTCACATTGGTCAAGATAACTGTATTTCGCAGAGTTCCATAAATGTAATTCTTACAGAGGTTCTACCTCTCCTTACAATAAACGGGTTTTGTTTAACATAGAGCTATGGCAAATACGTAAATAACTATTAGTACATTAACGAATGATTTATCTAGCGAACGAATCATCGACGTGACATAGGTGACAACATATCATGGACAGAGTGTATCAACCTCGGGAAATAGACCAATCGACACGTCAATAATTCTTGATAGGAGCCCAAGTTGAAAATTTAAAACTAATGAGACGTATTACGGTTCGATCCGAAGATTGTCTTCCACCTAAAGAATTATTCATTGGATTATTATTATTTTTTTTTTTTTTCCTTTTTTATCTTTTAGGATTCCTTGCATACAAAGAATAGACTCGATTATTCAATATAATTTTTATATTTTATATTCATTTGTGTCGAACTAAGAATTTTCTATTTAAAAGAATCATGAATACCGGGGAAAGTGGAGTGACTTCGAAGAGTCGAAACAAAAGAGAAGAAAAAACTATACAATTTTTATGTTTAACACAAAAAATAATCTGTACTAACGTATAAAGCAGAATATTTTTATTAGTTTAAACGCACTTCATTAAAAAACTATCGGTCTGATTTGGAAAACTCTTTAGGTTTGAAACTTCATTGCCAAATAATTCGAGCAATAGGAACGGAGCAGTAACTACAAATGTTAAAAATCAGGAAAACTGTTGAGCATATTCCAGACGACTCAACAGCAGACTGTTTTACCAAGGGGCAGCGGATATAAACATTTCAGTTTGCGGAGGAGGCCAGTAAATAATTAATATTATAGTCAAGGTCTAAAAATATTACAGATGTACTATAAGTTATCTTTAAAATGTTGATAACATATATTGTTGAACAAAAACTAGTCCATGGTATACACTGCTTTTTATCAAATTATTAACATCCGGCTGAAACTTCGTAAATAGTAATCTACAAATATTTTATATACGCAAATTCTCGGCACTTAATTAATTAGGCACTTAAAACTCGCAAATAGCCATTTGCTTTCCACATTAATCGTAAGATAACTTGAGT